GGTGCGGGCGCAACACCGAGGGTTGTGATCCCGTTGCCGTCCCCGGTACGGGTGTGACACCGAGGGTTGCGATCCCGTTACCGGTCCCTGGTACGGGTGCGACACCGAGGGTTGCGATCCCGTTACCGGTCAGTAAAAAAGACAAAAAGGAAAAAAAAAAAGGTAATTCTATGTTTAACTCTTTGAGAAACTGCCAAACTGTATTCCACAGCAGCTGCAGCATTTTATAACCCCAGCAGCACTGCACTAGGGTGCCAGGTTCCCCTGCCCTGCCACACTCATCCTTATTTGTCTTTTGTATTAAACCTGTCCTGATGAGATAAACATGTCTCGCTGTGGTTTTGATCGCATTTCCTTAATGAGTAATGATATTGAGTATCTTTTCACCTGCTTATTGGTCATTTGTAGATTTTCTTTGGAAAAATGTCTATTCAAATCTTTTGTCCATTTTAAAACTGAGTTATTTGCCTTTTTATTGTTGTATTGTAAGACTTTTTTTTACATATATTACACACACAAGTCCTTTGTCAGATCTATGATTTGCAAATATTTTTTCCCATTCTGTGGGTTGTCTCTTCAGTTTCTTTTTTTTTGAGGGGGAGCAACTGGCTGGTAAGGAGATCCAAACCCTTGACCTTGGTGTTGTCAGCCCTGCACTCTAACCAGCTGAGCTAACTGGCCAGGCTTCTTTTCAGTTTCTTGATGGCATCCGTTGACACACACAAGTTTTTAATTTTGATGAAGTCCAATTTACCTATTTTTTTCTTTTGTTGCTTATGCTTTTGGTAGTGTATCTAAGAGACATTGCCTAACCCAATATTATGCAGACTTATCCCTGTTTTCTTCTAGGAGTTTTACAGTTTTAGCTTTTACTTTTAGGTCTCTATTCCATTTTGAGTTCATTTTTGTGTAAGGTGTGAGGTAGGAAGCCCACTTCTAAGATTAGAAAACTTAAAAGAAAAAAAAGAGAGAGAGAAAACTTGAGGCCCACTGTGGCTGGTCAGCCTTCACCAAGACTCCTTGGCCAGTAAGCAGCTGGAGGGCCAGCCAGCTTAGCAGCCTGCATTCATTTTTGTCCTTTAAAAAGATTTACTAAAATTATATACCTATTTCACTCATCTCTAAATTGCCATCTAAAAATTCTCCTAAGCTTAAACAGCTGCAAAGGATACAATTTCCAGCACAATGTATATCTGTAGCTGATGGAATCTAAATACTGTAATGATTTGATACCTGTCATCATCCATCTGAAAAGTGCAAGAAAAATCTTTGCTTTAACAGAAGGCAATTTTATATGTCCTGTTTTTCTCTTTGAACTTGTTATTTCCATCCTAATTCTCTCCCTGCCACCCTTCATACCTTTTATGCTCAAAGATATTTTAGTGATCACCCTGTTATATTTCTTTGCAAGAAAAAATACGGGGCCGGCCCAGTGGCGCACTGGATAGTGCGCCGCTTGGGAAGCGCGGCGGCGCTCC